CAAGAAAAAAATTAAATATTCTTCAATTGAATCTCAAATTTAGAAAACAAATAAATAATATGCTAACTTTATTCATGTTCACCGCATATTATGCAAAGTATTGGGTTCTCGAAGGTACATTTTTCACACACATATTTGTTGCATTTGAAACAGTGGTTTTGTTTTCTTTGCAAAAACCTATTTGGCACCTTTTTCGCATTTGCACACGAGAATCCGAACTTGAATTTGTTGACGTTTTCTGTATATTTTCTTTTTCTTCCTGTTGCTCATGTTGAAAATCTTCGACAAGTTCTTCAGCTAATTGGAATAAAAATTGTTGTCTAGAGATTTTTTCGCCGGTTGTTCCTGTGTATAAAACCCATGAATTGATAATTGCACTATAACTTGAAATTTTTACTGTAATACTCGCTTGGAGTAGAGTGAAATTGGCTATTCATGCGGCAGCCAACAACAAATATAGCACAATGCAGCAAAATATATCACGCAATAAGAAAAATGTCCAATACAGTGGTTTTGTATCACAAGAAATACAAATCGAGATACAGAATCTTTGCACGGGTCAAATGACCCCTTGCGGTAGTTAGGGCAGATTACATATATTTCTCGGTAAAAAAATTAACAAGAGAGGAGTACATCTTGAAAAATACATTCGATGTATTTCTTAATAAAAGTCGTAAAGGCAAATGGCGATGTGATAATGTTATTTTCAAGAAATTCCGACAAAAAGTTTAAAATGGGTCATTTGACCCGTTATGGTAGGTTTAGTGTTAGGCACACTGTGACCTTACTATCGAAGATATAGGGATAGATAATGGATAGTTCAGGAATGACACAAATATTTTGTGCTCCAGTCTACAATTCATATATTCTTGGATATATGTAATTATTTACCAGTTGTGCTTACACAGTAGTCCTGTCATCAGTCTGCGAGGGTCGGTGGTCTCGGCACTGACTCTAATCGTTCACGGAACTATATGCCGGAATGTTATACTATAGGCAAGTGCGTTCGTCCCCCGGGTAAACTGTTTAAGAATCAATTACGATTCAAGGAATCTCTGAACGATGTCTTGGACGGACGTCGATACGGACAGAACTGGCGACCCCTGAGCCGAAAATCGAACTGCCATGCGTGTCCCCATGGCCGGGTTTTATAATCTAAAAGATTTCATGTCAGCGCCCTATTTACTTTAATCATTTCGACATGTCCTGGATTTCAGGTGCATATGAGATCGATGATTTACTTACTTATGTCGAAATGATTAGTCGCCACATTTCGATACTCACTTACTGTCGCGGAGCGTGTATGTTACGAAAGTAGCAAATGAAAAAGAGCACAGCCCTTTAATGGGGACCTAACAAGTCTGAAGGTGGCAGTTTGTCGCCGGGAACCACGTCCCTTATATACATGTAAATTCGGATACATACCCTTATTAATTAACACATCTGCTTTCTGATTTTATGGCTTTGTGGTCTATTAATAATAGTAGCTGATAGAATGGTAAGCGTACTTTTGCTGTATTGTCCTGCAAGTTTACATTGATTTCATTGAGCATTGGTTTATTTGGATTTATCTAAAATTAGCAATTTAACTAAAATTGAAATTTGACGATTTTATTTATATACAGTCGCCTATGTATAGTCGTTTCACATTAGCTCCCTGACGAACTGAGCGAACGTCTAAAACGGGGCACTCCAATCCAAGCCTCACGGTGGTCTCGATAAAGACATTCCCGAGACTTCAAAGCGAGAGTTGTGTCCCAAAGACTGGCCTCTTCTCGATCGAGAATCGTTCAAAGACGCGGCTGTGTTTTGGTCCTCGGCCCTCCTACTTGGTGTTGCAAGTTTTCCCCTATCCGCCACCGTGGGACGCGTCAACGGGAAGGTTTAACACCTTCCCTATCTAGCGCTGGCAGACGGTTTTCGTGACCAGAAGCGGTCGCGTCAACTCATGCAGGCCACCGGCACGACACTCTCAGATGATCGTTACATACGACTCGCGTAAGCCATGAGTGTCCACAGTTTCGCAGGCAGTCGACCACCTGACTCACGCAGGTCACGGTTGTCGGAACGCAGGCCGTGAACAACGCCTCATGAGCGGTCTATTCGCAGCAACGAACTTGTGCCTAAATACGTTCCTAATCGATGGGCGGTCAATTAGTAGTCGACTCGCACAGACTAAGGTCGCGATGTTCGCCGACAAAGAGTAATCGTGGGGGAATCCCTTTCTCTTTATACATATATAATACATGTTTGCAGAAATCGAATGAGTAAACCAGAAACAATGAAGATAACCGATATCTGTCAGATCATGATTAATTTTAACATAGCTACATTTACTACAAGATAATACAAATAGAGATAAAGAGTACAAAAAAAGTTAGGGATTCCCCTAGAGGTTCTCGCTTCTTGAAACTCTTCTATCTTACGGTCTCTGACAGCCGAGAACACTCCAGTTGTTTTATACAGGGTGACCCATAACTAGTGTTAGGTCTTTAAATGGGGAGGAGCTGAGGTGATTTTAAACAACT